GGGGTCAGCGGGTCACATGAGAAAGAGGACAGACGTGCTGCCTAACACGTACACTGAAAAGTGCAGCACCCCAAGGGACCGAAATGCTGCTTGGAATCCAAATGTAGGAAATAGGGTCTTCATTCAGCCTGTCTCCAGCCTACCTTATTCCACCATGGCGGCTACTCTCCCATCAGTAGAAAACCCTGCCTTCAGCAGTTTGCTCTCTCCCCCCCACCTCCCTGGTCCCTTCTTACCCCTCTCCCTTCAGCAGTTTGCTCTCTCCCCGCCACCTCCCCATCCCTTCTTACCGCTCTCCCTTCAGCAGTTTGCTGTCTCCCCCCCACCTCCCCATCCCTTCTTACCCCCTCTCCCTTCAGCAGTTTGCTCTCTCCCCCACCCACCTCCCCGATCCTTCTTGCCCCCTCTCCCTTCAGCAGTTTGCTCTCTCCCCCCCACCTCCCTGGTCCCTTCTTACCCCTCTCCCTTCAGCAGTTTGCTCTCTCCCCCCCCACCTCCCCATCCCTTCTTACCCCTCTCCCTTCAGCAGTTTGCTCTCTCCCCGCCACCTCCCCATCCCTTCTTACCGCTCTCCCTTCAGCAGTTTGCTCTCTCCCCGCCACCTCCCCATCCCTTCTTACCCCCTCTCCCTTCAGCAGTTTGCTCTCTCCCCCCCACCTCCCCATCCCTTCTTACCCCTCTCCCTTCAGCAGTTTGCTCTCTCCCCCCCACCTCCCCATCCCTTCTTACCCCCTCTCCCTTCAGCAGTTTGCTCTCTCCCCCCCACCTCCCTGGTCCCTTCTTACCCCTCTCCCTTCAGCAGTTTGCTCTCTCCCCCCCCACCTCCCCATCCCTTCTTACCCCTCTCCCTTCAGCAGTTTGCTCTCTCCCCCACCCACCTCCCCGATCCTTCTTGCCCCCTCTCCCTTCAGCAGTTTGCTCTCTCCCCCCCACCTCCCTGGTCCCTTCTTACCCCTCTCCCTTCAGCAGTTTGCTCTCTCCCCCCCCCACCTCCCCATCCCTTCTTACCCCTCTCCCTTCAGCAGTTTGCTCTCTCCCCGCCACCTCCCCATCCCTTCTTACCGCTCTCCCTTCAGCAGTTTGCTCTCTCCCCGCCACCTCCCCATCCCTTCTTACCCCTCTCCCTTCAGCAGTTTGCTCTCTCCCCCCCACCTCCCCATCCCTTCTTACCCCCTCTCCCTTCAGCAGTTTGCTCTCTCCCCCACCCACCTCCCCATCCCTTCTTACCCCCTCTGCCTTCAGCAGTTTGCTCTCTCCCCCCCACCTCCCTGGTCCCTTCTTACCCCCTCTGCCTTCAGCAGTTTGCTCTCTCCCCCCCACCTCCCCGATCCTTCTTACCCCCTCTCCCTTCAGCAGTTTGCTCTCTCCCCCCCACCTCCCTGGTCCCTTCTTACCCCCTCTCCCTTCAGCAGTTTGCTCTCTCCCCCCCACCTCCCCGATCCTTCTTACCCCTCTCCCTTCAGCAGTTTGCTCTCTCCCCCCCCACCTCCCTGGTCCCTTCTTGCCCCCTCTCCCTTCAGCAGTTTGCTCTCTCCCCCGCCACCTCCCCGGTCCCTTCTTACCCCCTCTCCCTTCAGCAGTTTGCTCTCTCCCCCCCACCTCCCTGGTCCCTTCTTGCCCCCTCTCCCTTCAGCAGTTTGCTCTCTCCCCCACCCACCTCCCCATCCCTTCTTACCCCTCTCCCTTCAGCAGTTTGCTCTCTCCCCCACCCACCTCCCCGATCCTTCTTGCCCCCTCTCCCTTCAGCAGTTTGCTCTCTCCCCCCCACCTCCCCGATCCTTCTTACCCCCTCTCCCTTCAGCAGTTTGCTCTCTCCCCCCCCACCTCCCCGATCCTTCTTGCCCCCTCTCCCTTCAGCAGTTTGCTCTCTCCCCCCCACCTCCCTGGTCCCTTCTTACCCCCTCTCCCTTCAGCAGTTTGCTCTCCCCCCGCCACCTCCCTGGTCCCTTCTTGCCCCCTCTCCCTTCAGCAGTTTGCTCTCTCCCCCCCCCCACCTGCCCAGTCCCTTCTTACCCCTCTCCCTTCAGCAGTTTGCTCTCTCCCCCCCCACCTCCCCGATCCTTCTTACCCCCTCTCCCTTCAGCAGTTTGCTCTCTCCCCCCCACCTCCCTGGTCCCTTCTTACCCCCTCTCCCTTCAGCAGTTTGCTCTCCCCCCGCCACCTCCCTGGTCCCTTCTTGCCCCCTCTCCCTTCAGCAGTTTGCTCTCTCCCCCCCACCTCCCCGGTCCCTTCTTACCCCCTCTCCCTTTCCTTCACCCCCATTATAACTCTAGTCCTCATTCAGTGCTCAACATATGAGGTATTTCCATCTCCAACCCCTGGAGTTGAGCAAGGGCCAGGATCAGTGTTCCCATTTCACAGATGGAGAACCAAGTCCGGGAGAGGGGTTTACTGTGGGTTGGGACCAAGGTTGGGACCAAGGTTAGGACCAAGGGGTCCTTCCATGCAGGGAGAGTGTGAAGGCAGCCTGAAGCCCCGCTTCTCTCCCTTGTGGGGACACCCAGACCCCCTTTAGAGAGTGCCTCGTCGGTGGGGAGAGCGGCCGTCAGCTTCAAGGTGAGGGGCAGGGAGGACCCAGGCAGGTGCAGGGTTGTGGGCCCAAAGCCTGTGATCAGCATCTACCTGGGACCCCTCGAGGGGAAGGGGCGGCAGTGACAGGCTACGGGCACCGTCAAGTCCCTTCTCTTACATGAAGTCAGGCGAGTGAGCCCAGCTCCTGAGGGGCGAGAGGACATGGCGGTGTGGAGCGGAAGGGTCCAGGGAAGGGAGGACCAAGGAAAGGGAGGCAGAGGGAGCCCTGTTGGCCACTAGAGCTGCTCAGCCACCAGACAGGTACAAACGCGGGGATAGACGGTGCCAGAAGGAAGGTGCCGGGTGCTCACGCAGAGCACAGTATATATTAGTGCCCCCTGGAGGTGGGGGCTTCATGAGAGAGTGCTTAAATCTCAGACTCCAGGAGCATTTGGTCTGACTTAGAAATGACGAATCTCAGGCCAAGGGTGGCCAGCTCCTTCCCGTGGCAGCAGAGGGTGGGGAGTCCTAGGAGCGGCTCTACAGTGAGAGGCAACAGCATAGTGGAGGGATGGAGCAGGGTCCATGTAGGGCAGAGATGCCCCAGGAGCCCCTTGGAGGGACCCAGGTGGCACAGCCCTTGCTATCACTGGGTTTGGCTTCTCAGTATCTCTGTGGGTTTCTGACAGTAGTTGGTGAGTTTTCAGGAATGGGAAAAGTGGATGGAGACACACTGGGAGGTGGGTTTTAATACCCACCCAACTTGTCCCCCAGGCCACCTCCCCCTGCCTGATACAGTATCTCCCACCATAACATTCACATGGCATCCATGTGCCTCCCTCCTGGGACATGAGTGACTCTCCTCGGATTGGCCACCACTCTTGAGGACTTTTAACTGAGGAAGGGCATCCCTGTCCATGATATCAGAGGGTTGAGCTGAGAAGATGAAAACAGGTGGAGAGAGGGGGCTTGCTCCCACTGTCAGACCCTGTATCTGAGGGCCAGGGGTCTGTGACTGGGGTGATGAGTAGGGAAAACATCCCAGGCCCTTCTGTCCCCCTCAGTGGGGAGAGGGTGTGTGTACTGGGGACAGATGTTCATTTTCCTGAGATGGCTAGGGTTGGAGATGCATGGGGTTCAGGAGGAGCATATTTGGGGCTTTAGTGACCTCTGAATAGCCCTTTGGAAGCCTTGAAAGCCATGCACCCCCAATGACTTCCACTGTAGGGAAAACCACTACACGTGCCCCACCCCCTAAAAGAAACCCTTAATTCATGCCAGGTACACATCTTGTGCCTGGGGAGCCCCAGGTCAACAGATGGGTTAGCCCAGATGGTCTCAGACGCTGACACAGGCATATGGAATAGAACAGGAAGGAGGAGAGGTGGGCAAGATGGCTCTGGTCCTGGGGGAGGGCAGTGAGCTGGCTCTGGTGACCGGAGGCCCCTTCCTGTCCTGGTGGGTAGCAGTCACCACAGGTTCCAGGGCCAGGTAAGGGTACTTGGGGCTAAGAAAAGCCAGGGGACGGGGTCCAGGAGCCTGAACTGGGTGGAGATGATAACTTCCCAGGCTGAAGATCCCCACATCGTCCCAGAGGAGAGCAGGGTGGGGGCCTCCTGGGGATCCAGGTGGGCCACCCATCCTGGGAGCCTGAGGACCTCTCCTAGGGAGTTTTCTGACTTTAAGGACATATGGGGCTCCAGGATTCCTGTGGAAGGATGGTGCCCTGGATAGCTTCTCCACTCTGTCCCCAGAGTGTCCCTTCATCTTGGGGAACTCACTTTGAACCTTCCTGATGCCAGATGAACCTGCAGATACTTACTGGTTTTCCTTAGATCAGTTGAGATAGCCTTGAATTTTCAAAAGGCAGTTTATTAGTATTGAAAAAAAAAAAAAAACAACCAACTGGAGATCGTAGGAAAAACAGCTGTCCAATTTTGGAAAAGACCCTGATGCTAGGAAAGATTGAGGGCAACAGGAGAAGAGGGTGACAGAGGATGAGATGGTTAGATGGCATCACTGACTCAATGCACAAGAGTTTGAGCAAACTCTGGGAGATAGTGAAGAACAGGGAAGCCTGTTGTGCTGCAGTCCATGGGGTCACAAACAGTTGGACATGACCTGGCAACTGAACAACAACAAAATTTCTAAAAGAAGACTTCTGCTCTCACAGTTCCCCGGCTCTGAACTGGGACAAGGCAGCTGGGGCCCAGTGCTGAGCTGGCAGTCCCTGGCTATTTCCACCTGCCATCGTGCTCTGTGCTGTCAGGACATCATCCCCACGACATTAGACACACGACTCCAAGCCCAGGCCCTCTTCTCTCCCTGCCACCCACCTGGCTCCTGCAGAGGTCCTTTGTCTGGTCGGCTGAGGGGCCCTTGCTGGCAACAGTCCAGGGACGAACCCTGGCCCTCCAGCCCAGGACCAGGCATTCCTCCGTCCTGAGGCAACCGCAGCAGAACCCCAGTTCTGGGAGGGGCCTTCCTGGTCAGTCTTCCTCTGAGACCTCCGCCTGCAGCCTCCCTGTGGCCACCGCCTTCCTAGAGCACGCCCTGCGCCTGGCGGAGGGCCAGTAGGTGCTCTTGTCGCTGTCTGAGCCTTGCCAGCCCTGGGCGAGGCCCAGCAGCGCCCGCCCCTGGCGGAGGAAGCTGGGGCTGGAGAAGCAATAGAGCACGGGGTCTAGGACGCTGTTGAGGTAGGTGAAGGCCAGGGAGCCGTGGAAGAGCTGCGAGCAGAGATCCAGGGCGCGGCAGGCACGCAGGCGGAAGGCCACGATGGAAGCGACGCCGAAGACCACGCTAGGCAGGAAGCAGACGGTGTAGACGCCCACCACGGCGGCGAGGACGCGCATGGCCCTCCGCGGGCCCGCCTGCCCGTCCAGGCCGCGGCGGCGGATGGTGAGCGTGATGCTCACGATGGCAAAGAGGATGAGCGCCAGCGGCAGGAAAAACTCCACCACGAACAGGGCCTGGTGCCATCTGAATGAGGCCGAGGGTCTCGTGCCCAGCCGGTAACTGAGGCAGGACCGGCTGGAGTGGGTGGTCAGCAGCAGGTGCCCGTTGAGGAGCAGGAGTGCCCCCCAGAGACCCCCGGCCACGCGGGCAGCGCCCCCAACCGAGGCCCTGCTCAGCGCGTGGTGTGGCCGCGCCACCTTCAGGTAGCGGTTGAGCGCCACGGCCGTGAGGAAGACCACGCTGGCCGTGCGGTTGGTGGCGATCATGAACAGGTTCACTTTGCAGGCAGTGTCACCAAAGCGCCAGGTCTCGTAGAGGAGGTAGTAATCGACGCGAAGGGGCAGGTTGAGGATCAGGAGGAAATCCGCGACCACCAGGCTGACCAGGAACACGGTGTTGGACGTCCAGGGCCGCGTGCGCAAGCAGAAGATTAATAAGGCCAGGCTGTTCCCCACCAGGCCCAGGACAAACTCCATGCCCAGGACTGGCGCCAGGAGGGCAGACACGATGGGGGAGGAGGCCGGGTGGCAAGAAGCAGTGGCCTCTCCAGGTGACTCCAAGGCAGTGGTCAGGGCCGAAGGAGAGGAGGACAGGGGAGAGGGAGGGAGGGAGAGAGGGAGCCAGGAGGGAGAGAGAGAAGGAAGGGGAGAGGGGTGGCTCAGGTTAGGAAATCCCATGGGCTGCTTGGGCCCTGGACCTGAGAGACGTTTCTCCAGCTGTCCAACCCCTGCGCAATTGCGCGGGGGTCAGTGCTTGCTATCAGCTGGCCAGCACAATGACTCAATATCCTGGGGGTTTCATCATTCTCCTTGCAGCCACCAAGAAACACCCTGTGTTCCTATTTGCACGCGAAGAGGAGCCCTGCTGCTCCCCCTCCCTCTCCACCTCCCCGGAGTAGAGAGCGGCCAGCCTGTGAGGTCTCTAAGCCCAGCCTCAGACTGGAGCCTGCATTGCCTCTGGCACACCAGGGTGAGGGTTCCGCAGGGTGAGTGGAGGTCCAGAGGAGCCCTGAAGCGGGAGGAAGGCCCGGCTGGGGTGTGGTCGGGGAGCCTGTTTACAGCCTTGAGTGGCCAGACATTTGCTTGCCTGAAGGCAGGAGCTGGTGCTGCCTGACAAGTCACAGCTCTCCGGACCATGCAGGCCACCTTGGGTCCCCACCCCACTCCCATCACAGATACAGACTGGGTGGTTCCCTGCCCCCACCAACTCTGGCAGCAAGGACTGTGTAGCCAACAAGATGTTGTCCTGGGAGAAGGAGGCGGAGGGTCCAGTCGACACCTTGACCGTTATGCTCACTGCCTAGTGGGAACAGCCTGCTGTCCTGATTCTCAGATTCCTGACAGTTCCAGAGTCTGTGATGGTCCCAGGTCCACATCCATGTTGAAGTACATCCCACGTGCAGAGGGCTCCCCTGCCAAGTTTCTACTGCCATGCCCTGGGCACCTGGGGGCTTCTCCCACACACACACACAAGTTTCTACTGCCATGCCCTGGGCACCTGGGGGCTTCTCCCACAAACAGAACAGTCCTGAGAATCCTCGAGTTGCCTTGCCACTGTTCATCCCACTTGGTGGGCCATCACCCAGTATTCACTACAGAGACAGGAGCAGAAGGCTAGGGCTGGTTTCAGACAAGATCTAAATCCTGTTCTCCCACTGCATGGTGTTCTCATGAGTCCATGGGGCCAGGCCTGTGGGCAGAGATGGAGTAACCTGGGACAGCACCAAGAGACGCTGTGGTTCCAGGCTCTAGGATCAGACCCTCCCCCCCCACCCTGGCTGCCCCTGTGCTAAATGACTGTGGTCAGCAGATGCCCCGTGCTGCCAGCTCAGTCTGAGTCTTGGGGTTTCAGACAGTGGACACTGGCCTCTCTCCCCAGACACCCCCCCCACCCCGCCGCCAAGCCTCTCCCCTGCCCTGGGCTCCCACTGGCCAAGGCTGAGGGCAGATAGGGTGTAGGGTGGTGGGACCACCAGCCTGAGCTTTGAATGCAGACAAGCCTGGGTTGGAAACAGAGCTGCCTGCCTTCCAAAGCTGTCTAAGCCTCAACTGTAAGATGTGGTGTCACCACTTTCTTAGGCAGTTGTAAGGATTCAGTGAGGTCATTTCTATAAAAACTTCTGGCAAATTCCCTGGCACAGAGTTGGTGGTCAGAAAAACAGGGGACCTAATTTTCATGATTTTCTGTCTTGGATTAGACACATCCTTAGAACTAGGGGACTCTTCTTGTGGCCATCTGGGCGCACAAGATGGGGGGGTCCTCCTGGGACATTGATGTTCCCTCTTCGGTTCCTGTACAGAGGAACGCATCACTGCCCTAGAGTGGTAGAAAGGTAGGGGGAGGCTGCTGGTGTTTATTCCTGGCTGGCAGGAGAGGAAGTCCTCTAGAGGGGTAGTGGGTGAAGGTCCAGACACCCCTCAGGGCCTTTCAGCAAAGTCCGGGTCTCCTTTGCCGGTTTGTCAGTGGAGGGGACCCAAGCAGGACACCTCCTGCAGGCAGGTGTAGGGGAGGCAGGGTTCAGACCCAGGTTTTCCGGAGGAAGCCTAGACTCTACCCAGGGACCTGTTTCGTCCAGACACAGCTTCAGTTCCCTCAGCGAGCGACCCCTCACCAACTTCTCCTTGAAGTCCCAGGATACTGAGCCCCAATCTCCTGCTGAAGCTTCCATGATTCATCTCAACCCACTGCTGCATCCTCAACTCCCAAACTCCTGGGCCCCACGGGGGCCTGTACACAGAGAGGGGGGAGCAGGGGGATGGGGCCAGGTGGCCCTCCCCCTACCACCAAGCCCCTCTGAGGCTCGTCACAATCTTCATGTATTAACCGTGGTTAACTCCACCCGGGGGATTTTGTGTTTTTATGTATTTCTACATTTTCTACAATGAGCACAAATCATTTCTGTTATTGGGGAGAAAAATGCTCAACAGATGCTATTTCTTAAAGTTATGTAAAAAGAATAAGTGAGAAAGAGGCAGAGAGACCAGCTATGCCCCCAGGACAGGCACAGCAGCACGCATGGAGGGGCACACACAGCCCGAGCACTTCTCTAAGCAAGCAGGGGGACTCGATCCCAGAGCTTCCACACGTCCATGGTCAGCTGGTGCCCCAGACCCGCCACATACACCCAGTCAGGGCGCACTCAGTGTCAGGCAGAGACCACAGGCCGTGTGTGTGCAGACCCGCAGGCGCTTGTCGGCCAGCGAGCCTTTATTGAGGGCTTCTTGGCGGCAGGCAAGAGCTGCACTGAGCCTGTGGATGGAGGGCGGTGAGGAGCCGGGCCCAGGCAGCAGTCCACCTGGCAGAAGCGCGCAGGGCAGGGGGCTGAGGGCTCTTAGGGGAGAAGGAGAGCTGCGGCCCCCAGGAACCTGGCAGCCTAGCCGAGAGGACAGGAAGAGAGTGGATGATGATCGTGTTCAGGGCCCAGTCCAGGGGACACTGAGTCTCTGAGCAGCAGTGTACGTAGGAACAGTGGGGCTGGGAGAGTTACTTGGCCAGGGTGGGTGCTCTGGGCCCACAGTGGGAGGATCAGTCATCCCAGGGACTTCTTGCAGGCAGGATCCTGGGTCACAGACAGGGCCACGGAGCCTTGCCCTCGCTCCCAGCCATACCTGTGGAGATGCAGGTGGGCAGGGTCAGATAAGGCTGGGACCCCAGGGAAAGGAGGGCAGGTCCACGGCAGGGGGTAGATCCTCCCCGGGGACTCACAGAGTCCCAGCTGGCACCAGGAGGCTGTCATCAGGGGTCAGGCTCAGGCGCTGTCCTTCCATTGTCACCACTGAGGAGCCCTCCTAGGAAAGAGGAGTAGAAGTGAATGGAGCCTGTTGGGCCACAACGCCTGTCTGAGCATCCCCAAGAGAGCTTTGGCAAGGAGGCCCTGGGAACTGGTCCATACTGTGGGCATCCAAGGCCCCAGAGCAGCCCGGTTCCCAGGTACAGGCAGGAGGCGTGCCACCCTCTCCCCGGACCCCACTTGCCAGCTGCCACAGCCATACATCCACGTCCTGTCTCGGGCCTTGGCTGCTGCCTTGTCCGTGGACCATCACCTGATGGGAAGTGACACAGGTCTTTCTGGTGCATCCTACCCCACGTAGGAGAGGGCTTTGAACCTGGCCCCCAGACACCAGCCATGTGTGGGGCAGGGGTGGGGCCCACAACACAGCCTCATTTCCGTATGCAGAGCAGAGGCCTGGTCTTAGAGAGGAAGGCTGCCCAGGCCCTCCCCACCCCCTTCCCGTCCCAGCCACCTGCTATTTGGGATCACACATGCCTGCCCTTCACATGCACATGGATGTCTGCTCCCTCTGATGCTCAACACAACTACTGCTGACCTGTATGGAGGCACGCCTACCAGGGACACACTAGGCATGTGTGTGAACACGGCACAGGGCAGAGCCACAGAGCACACACGTGAACTCCCCAGAGGATGCCCTTCTCCCTTCCTCTGTGTGATGTTCGCAGTCTGACCTAAGGAGGTGGAGGGAGTTGGGAGGGGATGAGCAAGAGGGACAGGGAGGCTGAGCCTCTCTGACCTGCATTAGCTCGGAAGCCCACAACCACTGTGTGGGCCATGCTCCTACCAGCCCTGAGTGGGCTTCAGTAGATATTTGCTGGAGTGAATTGAAGCGGGGAGGAGGAGGGGGTGAGAGAATGGGGTGGGAGGGGCTTGGTGGGGCGTGCTGGCTCTCATGGCCCTGTGTGAGCTCAGGGCTGGGCTGGCCAGGCCTCTTAGGGTAGGTCTGCATCCAGTGAGCGTCCCTCCACAGGGGTGTCTAATGCAAACTCCCAGGGATGTGACAGTGACCAGCTGTAAAGCACAAGCAAACATGAGCCTCCTGGCAGGTCTCCACGTTGCCACACTCGCCCTGCTGATCTGGTCCTCACACAGGCCACAGTGATCTTTCTGAACCACCACTCTAGTCTGGTCACCCGCCCTGCTCAACCCTTAGATGAAATTCTCTTGTCTCTAGCATAAGTCCTTGTGCCTTGCCAGCCCAGGAGAGCTGCTCACGCATGGGCACTGCCTGCTACGCTGGCCATCTAGCAGTTGTGCCTTCTGCCCCTACTTCCTGGGGAACCCTGTCCTGGTTCCCCAACTTCAGCTATTTGCAATGCCAGCCTGTTTCAAGCCTCCATGCCTTTACTCAGGCTTCTCCTTCCCCTGGAATGCATTCTCCATCTCCCTTTCTTTTGCAAACTCCTACAATAGGTTTAAAACTCAGCTTATACATCACCTTCTCCAAGAAGTTGTCCTGTCTTCCCTCACAGCCTGGTTCCTCCTTTATCGTCTAATGACTTCCTGTAGCTTCTCTACCACAGAACATATCACATAATCATGGCAATTGTTAATGAACTTTTCCATTTATCAGGCCATACACACTCTGAGGAAGTGACTCTATCTTATTTTCCTACTAAAGCCTAAAACATAATAGACACTCAGTAAATGTTGAATGAAAGGAGACCAGCTTTGGGTCTCTGTGCAACTCTCCACCCAACCCTCACCCCCAAATATCTCTCCCTCCTGGCTCCCAAGGCTATGATTGGCCAAAGGCCCAGAAGTCCTGGCAGGGGGATGACCCCAGACTCCCAGGAACCCCTCAGTGGATGGGGCAACCCCCTAATCCCTATTCTGAAGGCAAAGAAAGATTGCTGGGGACCATGTAGCCTCCATGGGCTTCCACTCACAGCAAAGCCATCATTCTCGGAGTAAGGGAGGAAACAAGAAGGCCTATGCTTGTGTCCGCGACTGGCCTGTGAGTGTGAGTGTGTGTGTGTATGAGTGTGTCTGTGTGTGTATGAGTGTGTATCCATGTGTGATTAGCTCCTGTCTCCCAGGGCTACTGGGCTGACGCCCTGGGTGACCCAAGGCTGCATTACCTGGCTCTCATAGGTGTCCCCAAACAAGCTGAGGGGCGTGCCCGCCTGCAGCTCCTTGCGGTGGCCATCCAGCCAGGCCTCCAGGCACATGGGCTCCATGATGGATCGTGTGCTCAGGGGGAATGGCGGTTCCTTGAGCAGCTGGTCTGCACCCATGGCACAGATGTGGTCAGTGTCCCCTGGCTCTGCCCACCCAGTCCCAGCAGGCCTGGTTCCCAGGAGTCCCAGCTCCCAGTCATTGGAATGGGCTCTGTCTCCAGCCCAGGCACCAAGTAGGGGTGGGGGTATATTTCATGCCATCTTCTTGTGCCTTGAGTACAGGGCAGAGGACTCAAAAGGAGACTCTGGTACCAGGGCCAAGACCCACCCTTCCCTGGAAAAGGTCAGGGGAGGGAGAGAGAGAAAGATGGTTCCCAGGGGCCTCACCAGGGTTGGGCTTTCCCGTTCTGTACTGCTCAGAGCTGAAGAACCTGCAGGGACAAAGGAGGAGGAGGGGGCTGAAGACACATGTGCGCGCGCGCGCGCGCACACACACACACACACACACACACACACACACTCCGAAGTGCAGGAGCCCACACACACTCATGGCACCCTCACATGATCTGCTGTATATCCACACTCCTTTCCCCTGCCTCCACTCCACAAGGGTGGAGCTTTCCAATCTGGGGCCCTTCCATCCTGGGAGGGACAGACTTTCTCCCTAAATCCTGGGCATCATTACTCCAGGCTGGTGGATACCCCCCAGAGCCCTGCTGGGCTGGGTCTGCTTGCCCCCGGCCAGAGCACAGGACCTCAGGAGGGCAAGGGGCAGGGGCTGGGGGCTCACTCCTGGATGATGGGGGCCAACTGCGTGCCGAGGTCCTCACAGTAAAACCACTTCTCATACAGGACGTCCGTGGTGTCCCCTACGTAGTACCTGCCAGAACAAAGGACAGGCACCCAGCTCTTCACCTGAGCGTTGCAGGGCAGCCTCCCTCAGGCCTGGCTCTGCTTGTGGACAACTAGGCCCGGCTGGCTCCACCGAGCTGACCACCTGCTACATCCTGTTAGCGCGACCTAGTGGCCAAAGCGCCCACCCACACCCAGCTCTCCCTGGAGGCCCTGTGTGGCCCCAGTGTGGGAGGGCTGTTATCCACCCCACTCCCATAGCTCTTCCTGGTTCGCCAAACAATACCATTTGCCAAGCAGATAGAGCTCTGAGGTTCAGGGGGAAACTACGCAACTTGCCTGGGATTACACAACCTGTTAGTGGCCAAAACAAGACAGATTGGAGACAGTCCTAGAAGCCTAGAAAGCATCAGTGACAAGTGTTTTTCCAAAAGAAGAAGCTGGGGCTGAGTCTGAGTCCGGCCCTGTGGCTGGATTCCCACTGGCCTGCTGGCAGTCTAGGTCAGAGCACATGAAACCTCAAGGATCCAGCATGCCACAGATGCCCCCCAGATGGGAGGGGGTCCTTCTCCTTTTGGGGTCATGGATGCCTTTGAGAAACAGAGCAAAGTGCTGTGTCTCTTCTCCAGAGGAAGGACCATATGTCTCTAGCAGGCTTCCTGTGCCTGGAGAACCCCATGAGCAGAGGAGCCTGGCAGGCTGCAATCCACAGGGCCACAAAGACCCCACAAAACCCACGGACTCAACTGAGTGACTTGAGCGTGGGCACCAGACTCCCTGAAGCCCGCCCAGGCCCCCAACCCAGCTTGGCAGGCAACTCCACTGGCCTGAGGAGGATCTGGCAGACCGGGGCCGGGCCTCAGGACCCTGTTGTAGGCAGTGCATCTACTGACTGAATGCCTGATCCCCAAACTTAGCTCCCAGGACCTGGCCAGCTCTGCTCTTCAGCTCCCCCCAAAAAGAGAAGTGGTTCTGCTTACGGACAATGGTTCATAGACACACAGTGCATCCACCCTGCCTGACACCCTAAGTTCTATCCTGGGATGGAGCTGGCTACCAGAAAGTCTCATAACTGGACCTCAATGCCCTCCAGGAATTGCCTTCAGAGTAGCATTTTAATGTTGAGCCCCTGGCTTTTATTAAAGGTCAAAAGCAGATGAAATCTGTTATTGACTTTGCTGTAAAAATGTTCCCGAAGATGCTGTCCTCTCCATTGCTAAAGACTCCCTATATAAAGCCCCACTGGAAATTTTATTTTCACATTTAAGGCCAGGCAGCTATTTCTGCAAGACTGTTCTGCAGTAGGTTTGCATGCAGTCATTAACACTGTGTTTTTTGCAAAGCATTTAATAGTATGAGAAGTACTCATGAGTTTTTTTTTTTTAATGTAAAAACAAAACTCAAACCCATACTTGCAATAAAACTACAATGTTGTAAGGAACAGATATGCATGGAAAAAAGATGAGATAGAAAGTGCTTTGTTAGAATTTTTTGGTGGGATGACTTTTTTTCTGTGTGTTTTCTCTTTATTTTTGTTTTATTGAGATATCATTCACATACTATAAAATTTACCCTTTTCCCGACAAGTGATTTTAATTTTGTTCATTTTGCTTTCTTGTACTTTTCCAGATTTCAAGGACAAACCTGTAGGACTTTGGTAATTATAAAAAAGGGAAACATTTTTTAAAATGTCCTTTATAACAGAAGATGTGGGGCAAAGTACCGTGATTCCAGTAGCTTGTTGGGAAATTTTAATTTTCTTAGTTAAAAAATACCTCAAAAATTGCTTAGCTTTTGGAAAAATGAGCAACAAGTTTAGTCCTCCTTTCAGGGGATATTAATCAGGTGGTAACTGATTGGAACCGGATGTGACCTCAGCTGTAGAAACACAGCTGCACCCACGTTCGTCCCCTCCTAGGTGCTGACTCACACTGCCATCTTGTCCGGCCCGGCCCAAACTTTGTGTTTTTCTGTAGTTCCAGCTTGGCCACTTTCTAGCAAACTCAACTTCCCTGGGCTCGATTTCTTCGTCTGTCGAGCAGAGAGGATAACAGTACCCACTGGATAAGGTGATAGGATCGTTGTGAGGATTAAAGGAATAAACATAAAGTGGTGCCCGACAGATTGCAAATGTTATACAAATGTCAGCGCTGGGTGTGGAATGAGCTGGGGTAGAGAAACAAGCAGAGGGTCGCACTAAACTGACTAAACTCTGGAATTGGAGGCTGGGAGAAGCAGCAGTGTTCTAGGCTGCCCTGGAGTATGATTTTGGCATCCCCCCCGCCCCCCACCCTGCCCTTCCCAGCAGACTTCAGTGCAGAAAGCATGGGTTCTGGGACTTCCCTGGGCATCCAATGTTTAAGACTCTATGCTTCCAATGCAGGGGGTGTGGCTTTGATCCCTGGTCAGGGAACTAAGATTCCACTCGTTCTGGGCCTGGCCATAAGGTATCAGGTTAATGGGCTCCCAGGGGTTCACAGAGAATACACCCTCCCCTGCATCATCAGACCCACCCTGCTACCTACCCATATCCTTCCCCATCTGCCAGCAAATGTAGGATCTCCATTGCCACCAACCCTCTCAGTGGTGGTTGAGTGGCTTTCTTGGGTCTGTCTGGGATCCTTTCCCCTGCTGCTTGCCCCTCTAACTCTGCCCCAGACCCCCGATCTGACCCATTTACCTGAGCCCATCTAGTTCCGTTTTCAGCCGCCTCCGCTCAATCACCAGCCCCACTGTGTTGGCAAACCTCTGCGGAGAGTGGGGGACCCCAGCAGGCAGGAGGAAGATCTGCACGGGTGGGGACAAGGTGCCAACAGGGTTACAGTCCCCCACGGAGGCCTCAGTGCTGCAGCGCCCCGGGGCCTCCCCAGCTGACCACGGTCCGGCCCCGCACCCTGTCTGCCCAGCCCCTACCCCAGGAACCAGAGAGGATGTCAGGCTGGGCTGAGATGGGCATGAGGAAGTGCCTGAGGGTGGGGCTGAGGCAGGTCGGGCAGGTGGGAGGGCAGGAAAGGCTGGGAGGCCAAGACTCCACCAAAGCCAGGAGAGTGGACACCGTGGGCTCCTGTTCCAGGGCCCAGCCTCACCTCTCCCTGCCGAATGACCACATCCCGGTGTTTTCCTCGCTCCAGGACTCGGAGAAGCATGTCCCCCTCCAGCTGGTAAAACACCTGTGAGACAGGACAGCGGACAGACTCTGACCTCCCCACTCCCTCTTCCGGGTCTTTGGCCTGAGTTCTCCCCAGAAAACCTGAGAAACTTCCCGAAGGCCTCAGAGTTTATGAGCAGCTTGGTCACTCCTGCCTGAGGCCCCAGCTTCCCCTGACACAGGCCGTAGATAAAAGTGCTGGGGACACGTGAGGGTAATACTTTCACATTAAAGTGATGATCAAGATACCCAGGACACCATAGGTGGTGTCTGGCTTGGGGGCAGGAGGCTGGCTGAGATGCCCACTGGATCATTTAGGGACCCATCGCCCAGGTAAGGAGAACCACCCCTTGACTGTGTCCCAGGGGCTGGGCAAGCACGTGACTGACAGACCTTATTTTATTGTGCTGTGCTTTATTGCATTTCCCAGATATTGCCTTTTTCTTTTTTTTTTTTTTAACAAATTGAAGGTTTGTGACAACCCTGCCTCGAGCAAATCTATTGATACCATTTTCCCAACAGTATTATTTCTAAATTAAGGTATATATATTGTTTTTTTAGACATAATACAATTGCACACTTAATAGACTACAGCATATTATAAATATTTACATGCTGTAGGAAACCAAAAAATTCACATGGCTCACTTTATTGAAATATTTGCTCTCTTTTAGTGGTCTGGAACCGAGCCTGCACTATCTCTGAGGTATGCCTGAACATTATCAGAACTCTTTATAACAACCTCCAAAAATATTGTCAGCCCCATTTTGCAAAAAAGAAAAAAGAAAGGCTTGGAGAGTGAAGTGACTTGCTCCAGGTTTTACACAGTTAGTCCTGGAGTAGCCGTGCGGACCTGAGTGTAGCTCTGGAGCCCATGCTGGCTCCTCTGGCCACAGTGAGGCCCTGGAAAGGGGCTGGGCTGGTCCAAACCCCTCTGGAGATCGGCTGGCCATGGAAATGTGCTCACTCCTGGGAGCCAGGATGAATGGGGGGGGCGCTTTGAGGATGGAAGCCCTCATTTCCTGCTGTCTCCCTGGGGTGCAGCGGGTGGTGCTGCAGGGCTCCTGCTGCACCTGTCTTCTTGCACCCTGAGTCCCTGATTAATGTGTTTACTGAGATCACCCCTGGCACTGGGAGGACGAGGAGGAAGACATATTTTCTCTCTACCAGTCACACATTGCATGGGTGTTAAAAACCCCAGCCAAATAGTTGAGGGGTTGTTATTAATAATAACAATTACTATTATCATGTAAGGACTTAGAGGAGATAGAGGTTCTTGCCCCAGAGTCTACTAAGAGAAACTAAGTGGACTCAGGAAAACTAGAGAAACGTGACTCTGCAGTCTGACACCCGGGCAAGCTGACGCAACGTCCCTGAAGGGCAATGTGGCAAAGGGCAGGAGAGCCTTCACAGCTCATGCCTCTATAAGGGTTTCTTGGGATGCCAGACCTTTCATGCTGAAACTGGGAACTTGACCTAGTCACTCCATCTCTAGAAAAGTGGCTTCAGTGAGTCAGAAATGCACCTGCCTTGTGGTGGACATACATGGCTGTTTTATCACAGTGTGTGGTAGTTTAAGGTAGTTAAGGCTGGGCAGCTCAGCCAGTCACCATGTACCTTTGGCCAATTCAGTCAGTCTTTCTATGCCTCCATTTCTTTATCTATAAAATGACAGTATCTACTCAGAATGTTGTCCAGGATGCTGTGTACAAAGATAGCCAATACATAGTTAGCACTCCGTAATCTCTAGCTATTAATATTAGTGATGGAAAGAATAGAAAGACTAATGCTAATAATAACAAGAGGGGAAATCGCATTATTTTATGACAGAGACAAAATATGGAACATTATGCAGCCATTAAAAGCTATGTTTTTGGCTAATTCATTTCAATGTATGACAAAAACCACTGCAATGTTGTAAAGTAATTAGCCTCCAGCTAATAAAAATAAATGGGAAAAAAATTAAAAAATTTAAAAATTAAAAAATTTTTTTAAAAAAGCTATGTTTTTGCATAGCTGTCAGTGAAATGGAAAAATGCTAAAGTTATCCAGTTAAAGCAAGATTCAAAGTGACACCCAGCAGGATTCTATTTATTGTTGTTGTGTATTCACTAAGTCATGTCTGAGAATTCTAATTCCATAGTGTATAATACATGTATAAACCAGGCGGTGTTCATGGTGCCCCCATGAGTGGTGGGATTATGAATGAGGTACATATTTACATTTGTCTTTTCTGTATTCTGCACATTTTCTTCAATTAAGAATCTTTACTCTTATTATTTAATAGAATTCATGCAAGTTATTTAAAACAAATAAGAAAAAACCTATCAGTCTCTCTTAGGGAACAATTCTGCAAACTCCCCCAAACCCCCTCAGCTAGGAGAAAGCCTCTATGTGTATGTATGTGGGGGGATGTCCTTTCATGGTTGGAGGGAGAGGAGGAAGGGCCTAGAGAATTCTAGGGAGATGGCCATAGCCCAGGCCCTGCAAATATCACGGAAAACAGCAGTCGGGGTGTGGGGTTGGAGTGATGGTCTGGGCCAAAGTCAAGCCCTTTCTGGCAGGCTACAAGGTATTAGTGGCCATTAAACAAAAACATGGAAAGGAAGTGGAATTTTAGAGGCCTGCCCTGTGATGGGTGGGCAGTGGTGGGTGGGGGTGTTCCCTGGTGGCTCAGCAGTAAAGAATCCACCTGCCAAGCTGGAGACTCCGGTTCGATCCCTGGGTCAGGAAGATCCCCTGGAGGAGGAAATGGCAACCCACTCCAGTATTCTTGCCTAGGAAATTCTATGGACAGAGGAGCCTTGTGGGCTACAGTCCACGGGTTCACAAAAGAGTTAGACACGACTGAGCGACTAAACAACACAACCTATGATGAGGGACGGGCCTCATCAGCAGAGGTGCAGATCCTGAACAGCAGAAAATCCCAAACAGCCACGGGCAATCCAAAAGGAACGATGCTTTATTTGGAAGTAAATGATGTTTGGGGCCTGGGGCTAACTGGAAGATTAACTGTACAGGCTCTAGCAGCTGCTGAATCAAATCTGGCCTGCACAGCCTGGAAAGGCCTTACAGGCAGGTGGGGCCAGAGAGGGGCTGAGGGTGCAGAGAATCCAAGCACCCCCACTCCTTCCACCAGGCAGGGGCTGATGTCCCCCATCAGCTGCAAGGAAACTCACACAGGCTCAGAGAGGTGGCGTGCATGTGTGCTCAGTCGTATCCGACTCTGTGACCCTGTAGACTGTAGCCTGCCGGGCTCCTCTGTCCATGGGATTTCCCAGGCAAGAATACTGGAGTGGGTTGCCATTTCCTACTCCAGGGATCTTCCTGACCCAGGTGTCAAACCCAAGTCTCCTGCAGTTCCTGCATTGGCAGGCGGATTCTTTACCACTCCACTACCAGAGGACCCCCCCTGGTGATGGGAGGTGAAAGAAAGTGAAAGTGAAAGTCGCTCAGTCATGTCTGACTCTTTGTGACCCCATGGTCTATACAGTCCATGGAATTCTCCAGGCCAGAATACTGCAGTGGGTAGCCTTTCCCTTCTCCAGGGGATCTTCCCAACCCACGAATCAAACTGGGGTCTCCTGCATTGCAGGTGGGTTCTTTACCAACTGAGCTATCAAGAAAGCCCATCCAAATCATGTGGTTGGTAAGAGGCGGACTCCAGGTCCACCTGACTCCCAGCCCAGGCTCTCTTGCACCCGCTCACCCCAAGGGAAGGACTGAGGTAAGTGGAGCGCGTGTGGTGGGTGAAGCCTGGGCACCCGAAAGGCAGAGGCCTGAGGTCAGCCAGGTGAAAAATTCAGCTCAGTGGCTTCCCTTCCCTCACTGGGAAGAAGCCTGGCCCCTAGAGTCTCCTTTGTTCCAGCTGAGTGAGGACAGGCAGGGACAGCAAACACACTGACACTCAGTCCTGTGGCTGCCAGGGTTTGACCTGCGGCTGGCACTCTCCCTCACCTTAGGTGGAACCAAGCCATCAAAAACAAACTCTAGCCAAATTCCTCCCAGCCACCTGAGCGTCCTTCCAGAACGAGACACCTGCTCAGGTCATCCCTCCTCACCAGCTAGCAATCCAGGAGTCAGGGCTTGGTTTGGACCCCTCAGTGGATAGTCGTCCACCAGAGTGGGTGGGGTGGAGTCTGGTGACCAAGCTGAACCCTGGACCTTGAACCCTAGCAGCAGGTCCTCTGGGAAGATAGGTGCCCCCTGACCATGACGATCCTTTGACACCAGAGATTCTAAGAGCTGGGAACCCATCTGTGTCTCTCAAGGGGACCCATCTTTTTACTTTTGATTTACTTTTGCTTACTCACTTTGGGGTAGGTAGTATAGAAACACAGCTCAAAATTCAAGGTACAAAAGGGTATTCAGTACAAATCCCCCCTCCCACCTGCCCACCCGTTCATCAGATAGCTCCCAGCAACTGATGTGCCTTGTACCTGCTAGATAAGGAGGGGGGCCTCCCAGTCCTAACCCTTCCCAGAGAACTCGGCTCCTGGGAACAGGGTGGAGCCCCAGGTCCCTCTCAGCATCTGGGTCCCATTTTGGAGGCCAATCTTGCATTATTCAGGTGTGGGGGTGAAGGGACTTGGGCATCCCCTTGGACCATGGATGGCGCCTGTGTCCGGGGGCTGATGCCCAACAGCTGGAGCCTCTCACACCCGCAAAGCCTGGGCTCTTTCCTGTGGCTTCTCCAGCAGGGTTCCTTCGAGGATGGAGCTGTCAAGGGAGTCACTGGTGCCCACAACTTCCAGGCAGCAGTTTCGCACCATGGTTTCAGTTGTGCCCCCTTCCCCCCCATCCACAGGCTCTGGTCCGGGCAGGGGAAGTAACCCTCGCTCAGGGCTGGGTCAGGGGAGGGGGCAGTCCACAGGCCTACCTCCTCACCCTCCTCGATGTGGTAGTCCTTCCTGGAGTTGGGACCCCCCACGAACATGATTTTGAGCTGCTTCTGGTGCCTGCAATGGATGAGGGAGGTGAGATCCTGAACTGGCTCATGGAGAGGACAGGAGGGTTGCAGGGGCCTGTGGGGGGTCTGGAGGAGGCCTGGGTACACTTGGGAGAGGGAGAGGGCTATTTCTGTGTCACTGTCCCTGAGAGTCTCCATTTTCATCTGCATGTGCATCCAAGGGTCTGGGTGTGTGTGTGTCTGTGACTGTGTGTGTGCTCACGTCCTTCCTCTGCTCAAAACCCTCAAGCCTCGGGACTTCCCCGATGATCTAGTGGCTAAGACTCCATGCTCCCGATGCAGGGGGTCTGGGTTTGATCCCTGGTCAGGGAACTAGATCCCACATGCAGCAACTAAGATCTGGCACAGCCAGATAAATAAAAGCAACCTTCCAGCAGCTTCCTATGTTTCCTCTGCCTTATATTCATTCATATGTTGAAATCCTAACCCCAGAACCGCAGAATATGACCTAATTGGGAACTAGGGTAATTGCAGGTGTAATTAGTTAAGCTATGATGAGATCATACTGGCATGGGGTGGGGGGAGTGCTCTAACCTAATATGACTGGTGTCTGGAAGACTGGAAGATTTAGATACAGTCACACTTATGAGGAGAATGCCATGTGGAGATAAAGGCAGAGAGTGGAGTGATGCTGCAGAAGCAAGGAATGCAAAGACTGCAGCCGAACCTCCGGCATCAAGGAGAAGCTCGGAGCAGCGTCTCCCTCACAGCACGAGGGGACACAGCAGCCCTAGTGGGCTTCCCCCTTCCTTCTGCTCTGGGGCTCCCCACATCTGCCTGCCTGCCTACCTGCACCCCTTGTTTGTTTCTATGTGTTGGCTGCCTCCTCCCACCAGAATGTCCGCTTCAGCAGGAAGGGGCTTCCGTCACTGTCTTCCTGTCTACCTCCGGGGTCCAGAACTGTGCCTGGCATGTGGTTGGTGCTCACAGGCTCACATCTGCTGAATGAGTGAAGGGAGGACCTGTACTTTGTGGTTACTAATATCAGGGCAGTGCTGGAGACCGCGGTGGGGGCCTGGAGGCTGGTGCAGCCTGGGAGTGCCCAGGGTGATGAGCATGGAACCACAGCAGCGGCGTGGGGCTGGAGAGGAGCGGATGAATGTGAGTCACCATGAGGGGGAGGAGGTGGAGGACTGAAGTGAGACTATGGAGAGAGATGAAGTGGAGGGGAGAGTTGGGGGTGACAAAAGTACTAGAAGAGACAAGGTTTGGGGGTGGGGGGTGTTGACTGTTACTGCAGTATTGCGCAGTCACAAGAGTGTGGACTTTGGAGTCAAACTCTTGCATGGGCTTGGGCCCTGCCCCACACTAGCTTTGTGACATTGGGAAAGTTCCTTGTTAAGATTTCCCACCCTAGACTAGGACTTCCCTCGTGGCCTAGTGGCTAAGACTCCATGCTCCCAGAGCAGGGGCCTGGGTTCAGTCTCTGGGCAGGGAACTGGATCTTGCATGCCACAAATAAGATCCTGAATGCCACAGATCTCAAGTGCTGTAACCAAGACCCAGCACAGCCAAATAAATAAATATTAAGAAAAACAAATCCCACCTCATAGGGCTACTGGGAGAATTATATGAGATGATATGAAAACACCTGGTAGTCTCCAACTAGCCAAGGTGTTAGTGATTGGAGCTGGGTGGCTTGAAAATCTACCTGGTTGATGTTCTGTGGACCCAGCAAACACAAGACTGTGACCCTGGAGCTGGGGAGCACAAAAGGCCCCACCATCCAGGTGATTGAAGGGGAAGGAGGTGAAGAGGCCACAGGGATGGCCTGAGACCTCAGCTGGAGGAAGACTGTGCTGGACCAGGGTCAGCCCTGTTGGGTGCTGGGGGCAGAGGCGGCTAGGGAGGCCTGGTGGAAGTCTGTGTGTGTGCCCAGCTGCAGACGGGGCCAGGAAGAGCACCAGAGAGCCTGCCCCAGGAGCTGACCCTCTGACTTCACCCTCCGCCTGCAGCTTCCTGGACCCAGTAGGGGAGTAATACTGGGCGGTTCCCAGACCTCGGTTCTACTATAATTCTGGGGCATCAACCTCCCCGCCCCCCAGTTTCTGAGAATCAGTGGGGTTTGGAGTGCTGCTTCTCAGCCCTGGAAGGAGCACCTGCATCTCTCTCGTCTCGGTCGGTCACCCAGCTTCCTCAGAATGCAAGGCCACAGTTTCCATGCAGTCCCCAGAAAGAGGAACAGAGGAGGGTGGCGAAACCCGGAACAGTCCGTCCTCACCCTCCTATGAACACCACGAGGATGGCATCCCCCTTTCAGCTAGCTTCTGGGTGGAGGAACTCGGAACGGGAGGTTGAGGGGAGCAGTTGGAGGATGGCGAGGAGGTGAGAACAGAAGGCGGGAGGGTGGGGGCGTGCGCGGGACTCACAGGAGCTTGTTGCAGACCGGGGGCAGGAAGGAGCCCCGGTTCTCCTCCACCCACGCCTTCACTTTCACTGGGCGCTCCATGGTCTCCCGGGAGCCGCACTCCTGAGCCGTGTCCTCCGCTCTGTCGAAGGGGCGCGTCTCTGCCCGGCCACCTATTGGCCGCCTGGTTAATAAGCATCCTGAGGGTCAAAGGGCGGGGCAACAACCGGTACTCGTCGCGGCCCCTCTCGGACTTTGGTCTGGAACCCCTCACCCCCCACCTCGCGCTTGGTGCCGCCCAGCCGGGCCGCTGCCCACATCCAGGGCTCCACCCGCGTGAGAGTGGAGTGCCCGATCCAGGCTTAGGACACGGGATCCAGAACCTTCCTGGTCCCTTGCCCCCAGACTTTCCGCCTGGGACGCAGGGAGAACCCCAAAGAAATCCTGTAAGGAGGAGAAGGCGGGTTTGGAAACCCAAGCGCCTGATCACTGGGTCGCTGACACTGGGTTGAGGCCTCAGTTTCCTCATCTGTAGACTGGGAATGTCGGGGTTGCACAGCGGCCACCATAGGCCCCGACTGATGTTAGTCCCCTGTCCGGTCACTAGGACAGAGGTCAGGCCAGCCCGCAGGTGCCATTGCTCGGCTCTGTCAGTGACTGGTTGGAGAGAGGACGGAGGAGGGGCGGGGAGCGCAATGCTGGGAGGCCGTGATGCTAGACAGGGACCCGCCAGGCCGGGCTTGGGGCCTCGCCCCTCACCTACGCTCGCAGGTGGCAGGCAGAGCGCCGACAGGGTGCCTGGCGCTGTTCTGAGCTCCTTTTGTGTCTTGGGGCATACTCAAATCACACCACAGTTTACGAGGAGTTTCACAGATGCAGAAGCGGGCACTGGGGCCGGGAATCTGAGGTGAGGTGAGGAGGGCGGACAAACCTAATGCGCTGATGATTCCAGCCTGGGGTAAGAGCCGCTAGCCCGGATCCTCGCGAGCAGGCGGAGACGCGATCCTTGCCTGTGTGGGTGCGGAGGCGGGGAAGGCCAATTGGACACCTGCTTTCTTCTCTTTCTTCCAGACTCAGAATTCTTGGGAAGATTGCAAGTGTTGGAAGAGGGCCGGGAGGGGAGGTGGTGGTGGCGGGGGCGGGGGGCGGGAAAAGGAACAGAGCTGACACCAGAATCTAGACTGGAGAGTTTAAGAAATTCGAAACTCCTCCGACTCCAGTTCCCCATCCCATCTTGGCCCCTCCCTGCTACGTAGGGTGGGCGGGTTTTCTCAGCATCCTCAGTCACAGCGCTCCTGGTGCAAATGAAAACCCAGTCAGAAAAAAAAAAAAGAAAGAAAAAGAAAACCCAGTCAGGTAGCAAACAAGATTCCTGCCCTCCCTCGCTGGGGGCCTCCTGTTTCCTCTCCACGCACCCCCTTCCCTTTCTCCCTCCTTTTTCTTTTTAGTTATTTATTTAGAACTTTTTTTTTTTTTTTTTGCTGAGTGTTTCTCTCTAGAATCTTGTTTGGCACCAAAACTCAAATCATCTTCTTTATCTTTCTCATCTACAAGTAAACAGAGGAGATTTAAACAATGACACATGAAACACCAAGGATCTAGGATGTGTGAGGTTTGCGTTGGATGTTTGTTAAATGGAAGGGTGGGTGGGTGCGTGGATAAAGGCATGAATGAATTCCCACTAAAAGGGGAAACAAAACCCAAAAAACTCCATGATTTCAGCCCAACAGATGTTGTGATATGTAGTTCAAGGAAAACAATGACAGTTATCCTGCATCTTATTTTTTAAACTTTTTATTTTATATGGGAGTCTAGTTGATAAACTGGAGAAGGCAATGACACCCCACTCCAGTACTCTTGCCTGGAAAATCCCATGGACAGAGGAGCCTGGTAGGCTGCAGTCCATGGGGTCGCTAAGAATCGGACAGGACTGAGCAACTTGACTTTCACTTTTCTGCATTGGAGAAGGAAATGGCAATCCACTCCAGTGTTCTTGCCCAGAGGATCTCAGGGATGGGGGAACCTGGTGGGCTGACGTCTATGGGGTTGCACAGTTGGACACGACTGAAGCGACTTAGAAGCAGCAGCAGTTGATAAACAATGTTATATTAGTTTCAGGTGTACAGAAAAGTGATTCAGTTATACATACACATACATCTATTCTTTCTCAAATTCTTTTCCCATCGTTATATAATATTTTTAAAAACCTCTTATAGCCAAAGAATAATGTGATAGTTTTAGGTAAAGAGCAAAGGGGCTCAGCTATACATATACGTGTATCCATTCTCCTCCAAATTTCCCTCCCATCCAGGCTGCCACATAACACTAAGCAGAGTTACATGTGCTATGCAGTAGGTTCTCCTTGGTTATCCATTTCAAATATAGCACTGTGTACCTGCCAATCCCAAACTCCCTAACTATCCCTCCCCACCACCCTTCCCCCGCCCCTGGTAACCATCTACAAAATTTACAAATAGCCTAATATCATTAAAAATAACCCAATTAAAAAATGGGCAAAAGACCTAAATAGACGCTTTTCTAAAGAAGACATACAGATGGCCAAGAGGCACATGAAAAGATGTTCAACATCACTAATTATCAGAGAAATGCAAATAAGAACTACAATGAGATATCACCTCACACTAGTTAGAATGGCTATCATCAAAACCACCACAAATAATAAACGCTGGAGAGTGTGTGGAGAGAAGGGAACCCTTTTGCACTGTTGGAGGGAATGTAAATTGGTACAGCCACTGAGGAGAACAGTATGGAAGTTCTTAAACTAAAAATAGAGCTACCATACAATCTTGCGATTCTACTTCTGGGCATGTATCTGGAGAAAAATATGGTTTGCAAGGATACATGCACCCCAATGTTCATTGCAGCACTGTTTACAATAGCCAAGACATGGAAGCAAACTAAATGTTCATCGACAGAAGAATGGATAAAGAAGATGTGGTACATATATACAATGGAATATTCCACAGCCATTAAAGGAATAAAATAATGCAGGGACTTGTATGAATTTAGAGACTGTCATACTGAGTGAAGTAAGTCAGACAAAGAGAAATATCGTATAATACCACTTGTATGTGGAATCTTAAAAAAAAGACATACAAATGAACTTATTAACAAAACAGAAACATACTCTCATTTTAACCTAACTAGTCAAACAACATGGATAATTGAGGCTACAATTGATTGTCTGAGGTCTGAACTATCCAGATGAACCTTAAATACAGGCTAGATAATTTGCTACATGGTTTCTGTAAAGTATGCCATTTAGTTTGTGCTGCATAGATAAAACACCATGTCAATTCAATTGGCAAGCCTCCTAGCTTGGGTGTTGGGCACCATTTGATCCAATGTTCAGAAAATAAATTTTTATTGATTTTCAACAATTCAAATTTTATCTGCGTGTTCTGGTATTGCTTGGTCACAGTCATCTGGACTGCTTCCAGTTATTGACCTGTGAGTTCCTTCTAGTTTCTGGATCTTACCTACTCACAGCAGCCATCTCTCCCCTCTGCACAAAGAAGCTCATTGCACCATGGCGTGAGAAGCCGTCTCTGCCTTAGGACCAGAGCTCATCAGAGCCTCTCCTGGTCGCTGATGCCTGGCTTTGGTCTCGCCTGGATGGCAGCTACCTGCCCAGGTCACTAAAATCAGTAGACGCTTCTAGGCTTTACTGAGTCTGACTGCTGCTAACAGTCTGATCTCTTCAATCTCTCAATGAACAGAAGTTTTTTCTCCAGCCGATCCTATCTGAGCTTACCTTGATCTGTCTCTGTCTTTCTCCCATTTTCCCTCCCTTTCATATAGTTCAGCAAATGTTTAAGAACAAACATGAGGGTTAGATCATGAATTGTACTAGTTATTTGGAAATCTGGGTTCTGGTCCTGCTGTCTCTTTTATTTGTATTATTTACAAGTGTGTTTACATTTTTTAGATACATGATTGGTTTGAGGGGTTTTTGTTGTGTTTTGTTCAGTTATCACTTTGTTTGTAATTTCTAATTTTATTGCATTGTGGTGACTGAAGATGGTCTATGTATTATTTGGGGATGGGGGGGTGTGTTAAAATTTCCTTTGCAGCTTAGTCTATGGTCAATTTTTGTGAATGTGTATTCTCTGCTTAGAATGTAGTTCTATATGTTTCTATTAGCCTAACCTGTTGTGTTACACAAATAATCTCTTTCCTAATTTATCAAGGTGCTCATGGGTGCAAATAATAGGGACCCTAGTTAAACAGTTAGAAATGGACATGGAACAACAGACTGGTTCCAAATAGGAAAAGGAGTACGTCAAGGCTGTATATTGTCACCCTGCTTATTTAACTTATATGCAGAGTACATCAAGAGATACTCTGGGCTGGAGGAAGCACAAGCTAGAATCAAGATTGCTAGGAGAAATATCAATAACCTAAGATATGCAGATGACACCACCCTTATGGCAGAAAGTGAAGAAGAACTAAAGAGCCTTTTGATGAAAGTGAAAGAGGAGAGTGAAAAAGTTGGCTTAAAGCTCAACATTCAGAACACTAAGATCATGGCATCTGGTCCCATCACTTCATGGCAGATAGATGGGGAAACAGTGGAACCAGTGGCTGACTTTATATTTCTGGGCTCCAAAGTCACTGCAGATGGTGATTGCAGCCATGAAATTAAAAGACGCCCACTCCTTGGAAGGAAAGTTATGACCAACCTAGATAGCATATTAAAAAGCAGAGACATTACTTTGCCAACAAAGAGCCGTCCAGTCAAGGCTGTGGTTTTTCTAGTAGTGGTCAAGTATGGATGTGAGAGTTGGACTCTGAAGAAAGCTGAGTGCTGAAGCATTGATGCTTTTGAACTGTGCTGTTGAAGACTCTTAAGAGTCCCTTGGACTGCAAGGAGATCCAACCAGTCCATCCTAAAGGAAACCAGTCCTGGGTGTTCACTGGAAGGACTGATGCTGAGGCTGAAACTCCAATATTTTGGCCACTGGATGCGAAGAGCTGACTCACTGGAAAAGACCCTGACGCTGGGAAAGATTGAAGGCATGAGGAGAAGGGGACGACAGAGGATGAGATGGTTGGATGGCATCATCGACTCGATGGACATG